CTGAGCCTTGTACCAAAAGCCAAAGGATGTACATCTCATTTCCTGTAAATGGGTTTATAAAATCAAAAGAAGAGAAGATGGCAGCATAGATAGATATAAAGCAAGGTTGGTTGCTCGAGGATTTTCTCAAAAGTAAGACGAAGATTACAAAGAAACCTTCAGTCCGGTGACTAAGATGATCTCAGTCCGAATTGTGCTAGCCTTGGCAGCCTCGCATAATTGGAAGTTATGGCAACTTGACGTGAATAATACTTTCTTATATGGAGAGCTTAGCAAAGATATTTATATGGACCAACCACCCGAGTATATCTCTAATTTACATCTTGATTATGTCTGCAAACTTAAGAAGGCCCTTTATGGCCTCAAGCAAGCTCCACGAGCATGGTATGGTAAAATTGCTCAATATCTACATTTCTGTGGCTATGATGTGTCACATTCAGATCCTATCTTATTTGTTAAAAAATAAGGAGACTTGCATATGGTTGTTCTTTTGTACGTGAATGATATGATAATAACATGAAACAATGAAGATGAAGTTGCTAGGCTTCAAGATGAGCTTTCCATAAGATTTGACATCAAAAGTTGGGAGAGATCTACATCATTTTCTTGGCTTAGAGGTGACAAACATGAACAAAGGGATCTTTGTCACTCAAGAATGATATGCTAAAAAACTTGTTGACAGGTTTGGATTGAAGCAAAGCAAAATATGTTCTACTCCTCTTGAGATAAGTACAAGGTTAAGGTAGGACGAAGGCTCACTTCTTGCAGATCCCAAGCCTTTTTGAGCTCTTGTTGAAAGTCTCTTGTATTTGACTATTACAAGGCCAGACATTGCCTTCTCTGTGGGATATGTCAGCAGATTTATGCAAAGCCCAAGAAAACCTCACTTAGAAGCTGCAAAAAGGATTCTATATATCAACTCAACATCAGATATGGGTTTGTTCTTCCAGAAGAAGAATGATTTGGTGTTAGCTGGTTATACAAATGGCAATTTTGTTGGTGATTTGGATGACCGAAGATCTACATCGAGCTATATTTTTCTCTATGATGGAACAAGTATTTCTTGGTGTAGCAAGAAGCAGGACTCAATTTCCTTGTCAACCACGGAGGCGGAGTATAAAGCAGTTGCTCTTACTGCTCAAGAATGTGTATGGCTACAAAGACTTGCTGAAGACTTACATCTACCTATATCAAAGCCAACTGTGATCTTTGGAGATAATTAAAGTTCCATCAAGTTTACAAATAATTCAGTATTCCATGCAAGAACTAAATACATTGAGGTGGAACACCACTTTATACGGAAAAAGGTTCTTGATGGAACTATCAATACTTTGGAAGTACGAAGTCAGGAGAATATTGCTGATATCTTCACCAAGTCACTTGATAAAGCTTCGTTCGAGTTCTCCCGTGACAAGCTTGGAGTAGTTTCCAAAAAATTACTTTAAGGGAGAGTGTGAGAAAAATAAAGTAAAGTTAATTTTTTGGAAAAAACATAGATTTCTCTAGAATGTTCTAGTGTAGTATCCTTGATATTTTTATGGTAGACACATATAGATGTTCTAGAATGTTGTGGAAAGATAATATTATCTAGTAGACACATCTAGATATTCTAGAGTATTATGAGAAGATAAGGTTAACTAGATTTTTCTTGTACAAGTTCTAGAATATTATCTAGAACCATCCTTAGAGAAGTATAAATATGAGTGGTCTTAGGCATTTGTAACTAAGCCAAAATCAAGAAAGCCTTCTTTCCTAAATAAAGTTCTCATCTCCAAAACTTTCCTTCTCTTTTCAAAGCTTCATTTTCTTTAGTTGAATCTTCCTATTTTTAGTTAACGATCTTGGGCTAGCAGAAGATCTCTAAATAATACTTTCTTTTGCAATTTCTTACAGGTAGGCTGCCAATTCAATATTACAACATTAATGTATGACTTTTGTTGACTTCTTTAGCACTGATTAATATGAAAAAGTTTTGTGGTTCGCTGTTTCATTTTGGAAACTAATTATCTGCCATAGTTTGAACTGTGGCTGTATCTTGTTTATTTCATTTTCAGATATTTCTGTCTGGGAGTTGATTCCATTTTAGCTTTGCGAACAGAAATATTGGCTCAAATAGAATCACGAACAAGCGCCAAGCAGTAGCCTTTCTCCTCTTTCACTACTTACTACCAGCCCCGCTCATATACTCTTGATCATGAGTGTAACGGTCTAACTTGATGGATCCATAATTTTTTTTACGGGTTTTGAATTTTATTAAAAGTAACTTATTGAGTCCTGGATAAGTTATATGATTTCTTAACAAAAATATAGAATTTTGGACAAAACTATCAAATTCTGCCGAACCAGTAGATTGAACTCCAGCTCCGCCTTTGAGCTTGTATTACTTTAAAACGTGTCAATATTTCCTTAGGTTTGCTTCCTTAAATATTCAATAAATTTTTCATGTTTTGATAATATGGATTTGCTTAGGAGTTTACATACCCCTTAGGGCTCATCATTTTCGCTCATATTATCTCAAAGCATTATATTTGCCCTTACTACTGTACAAGATTGCAAGTGCAAGACTCTAATATCATATGTAATAGCTTATCTCATTAGGTTCTTGGGCTTGCTTACTTAAATACCTAATATTTTTTTATATCTTGTTGTTGTGAAATTTGCCTAAAATATTATAATAAAAGTATCTAGCTAAATTATCTTTTATCTCTCCTTAAACATCTCACTTGATTAATAATCCATCAATTGGAAATTTGGAAAAGGAAAGAAAAATATGAAGAAAGAAATACTACTATACTTTTTAAATGATCAAATATTTTGAGACAAATTCAAATTACTAAATTTTTTAATATTTGAGGCGGCGAGAGAGGTGATAGGGGTCTCGACGGGCTACTCTGGTGGGCACAAAGAAAACTACTGGTGGAATGAAGTGGTCCAAGGTAAAGTGAAAGCGAAGAAGGCGGCGTACCTGAAGTTAGTAGGGAGCACAGGCGAGGAGGAGAGGAGAGCGAACAGTGAGAGGTATAAGGTAGCAAGGAAAGAGACGAAGCTCGCAGTCACGGAGGCTAAAACTGCGGCTTTTGCTCGTCTGTACGAGGATCTGGGGAACAAAGGCGGGGAGAAGAAGTTATTCCGGCTATCCAAGTCGAGAGAGAGGAAGGCTCAGGATTTGGACCAAATGAGGTGTATCAAAGACGAGGACAGTAGGGTATTGATAGGAGAGGACCAGATTAAACAGAGATGGCAGACCTACTTTCATAAACTTCTGAATAAAAAAGGGGATGGGGATATTGTGATAGGTGAATTGGAGTATTTCGAGAGTCATCGTGACTTTAGGTATTATAGGAGCATCAAGGTTGAGGAGGTCGTGAGGGCTATGCGTAAGATGAGTAGGGACAGAGCTACCGGGCCAGACAAAATTCCGGTAGAATTTTGGAGGTGTGTGGGTAGAGCAATTTTGGAGTGGTTAACTGGGCTGTTTAATATTATTTTCAGCGCGAAGAGGATACTGGATGAGTGGAGGTGGAGTACGGTAGTTCTGTTATACAAGAACAATGGTGATATTCATAGTTGTAATAACTATAGGGGTATCAAATTGCTGAGTCATACCATGAAAGTTTGGGAGATGATGGTAGAAGTGAGGGTGAGGAGGACGTTATCTATATCCGAAAACTAGTTCGGGTTCATGCTGGGGTGTTCTACTACGGAAGCTATCCACCTTATTAGAAGGTTGGTGGAACAATACATGGATAGGAAGAAGGATCTACACATGGTATTTATTGATCTGGAGAAAGCGTATGACAAGGTTCATATAGAGGTTCTATGGAGATTCTTGGAGGCAAAAGATGTGTCGGTTGCTTACATTAGGGCGATTAAGGACATGTATGATGGAGCGACAACTTGGGTTAGGACAGTGGGAGGCGACCCAGAGCACTTTTCGGCTGTTATGGGGTTACACCAAGGATTTGTACTCAACCCATTCTTATTTTCCCTGGTGATGGATGCATTGACACACCATATTCAAGGGGAGGTATCATGGTGTATGTTATTCGCTGACGATATGGTTCTGATTGATGAGACGCATGGCGGCGTTAATGAGAGGCTGTAGGTTTGGAGACATGCTCTTGAGTCTAAGGTTTTCATTTTGAGCAGGACTAAGGCGGAATACCTGGAGTGCAAGTTCAACGCCGATCCGATGGAGCAGGATTGGAAATTAGGCTTGAATCACAGGTCATCCCCAAGAGGGGCTGTTTCAAGTACCTTAGGTCAGTTATACATGGGGATGGGGAGATCGACGAGGATGTCACACACCGTATAGCGGTTGTTAGACTGGCCATGTTGTATGGGGATGAGTGTTGGCCAGTTAAGAACTCACATGTCCAGAAGATGAAAGTGTTGAAGAGCTCAGCTATGGAGTCTATCGAGTTCAAACACAGAAGATATCGGAGAGAAGAGAGAAGAAGAACAGTGAAAAATAAAATTTGTACAATCCTATAACCAACTAACTAACTACTACTTATACAACTAACAACCTACCTATCTTTACTTAATTATAGGTGTTAATTACAGCTCATTGACAGCTGTACACCCATACACCTAGAGTTATCTACACTCCCTCTCAAGTTGAGGGATGAAAACATGTCCTTCATTCCCAGCTTGCTCACTAAGTAATCATGTTGTGGACTATATAGGCTCTTTGTCAGTACATCTGCAAGTTGTTCTTTGGTTCCAATATGCTGCGTTTGAATCAGACCTTCATGAATTTTTTCCCTCACAAAGTAATAAACTATGTCAATATGCTTTGTCCTTTCATGAAAGATGGGATGTGCTGCAATTTGAATAGCAGCGTTGCTATCGCAGAAAAGTTGTATCGGAACTTCAACCTCAATGTTAAGCTCTCTGAATAGTCATGTTAGCCATGTAACTTCTGCTACTGTTGTGGCCATGCTTCTGAATTCTGCTTCAGCTGAGCTTCTTGAGACTATTCCTTGCTTCTTTGATTTCTACGATATCAAAGCTTTTCCAAACTTGATCACATAACCAGTTACTGATCTTCTTGTTTCCACACAAACACCCCAGTCTGAATCACAGTAGGCAGTTAACTTCAAATTTCCATCGGTTGGCATGAACAGACCTAGACTTGGAGTTCCCTTTATATACCTGATGACCCTCATGGCAGCAGTCATGTAAGACTGTTTAGGAGCATGCATGAACTGACTAAGTACTTGAACCACAAAGGCTATGCCAGGCCTAGTCATGGTTAAGTACAATAGTCTGCCTACTATTCTCTGATATTTCCCTTTGTCTTCAAGTTCATTGTCATTGTCACTACCATTCTTGGTGACAACCTTATCAAACTCCATAGAAGTTACCTTGTGATTGAACTCCAGTGGAGTAGTTACTGGCTTTCCACCTAACAAACCTAGTTCAGAAACTAGTTCAAGTGCACACTTTCTTTGGCACATTTGAATTCCTTTTTCTGATCTAGAAAATTCAATGCCCAAGAAGTATTTTAGTTCCCCGAGGTCTTTCACTTTGAATCTGACTTGTAAGTCCTTCCTCACTTGCTCAATCAGCTTCAAATTAGTTCATATTACTAGGAGATCATCCACATAGACAAGTATGACCACCAGATTTGATCCTTTTTCTTGTGTAAAGAGAGAATAGTCATAATGAGATTGTTTGAACCCCATATCCAATAGAGCTTCTGTTAACTTCAAGTTTCACTGTCTAGGAGCTTGTTTTAGTCCATACAAGGACTTGTTGAGCTTGCATACCTTCTTATACTCCCCCTGGCTTGAAAAGCCATCTGGAATTTGCATAAAGACTTCTTCAGAAAGATCCCCTTGGAGAAATGCATTATGCACATCCATCTGAAAAATGTACCAGTGAGAGGCTGCTGCTAGAGCCACCACAGACCTAACTGTAACCATTTTTGCCATGGGAGAGAATGTCTCATTATAGTCTAATCCATCCTGTTGACTATAGCCTTTTGCTACAAGCCTGGCTTTATATCGTTTAACCTCTCCATTTGATTTGTATTTTACCTTGAACACTCATTTGCAACTAATGAGAGATTTGTCCTGAGGCAAATCAACTATGGTCCAAGTTTGGTTTTCTTCAAGTGCTGCTATTTCTGCCTTCATAGCATCAACCCAGAGAAGATATTTGCATATTTCAGCATAGGATGAAGGCTCAAGAACTGCGGAGTAAGCAGCCAATAAGGTTTTATAGGTAGGGGAGAGGTAATCATAACAAACATAGGAGGAGATAGGATAAGGGCAGGAGGATAGCTTAGACTGCACTACATAGTCCTGCATCCACACATGTGGTTTAGACGGTCTCAAAGATCTTTTAAGAGCATCTACAACTGGCTGAACCATAGATTGAGAGGGTAATAAAGAATTGGGAGAAGAAGCAAAAGGATACAGTAATGAGGAACTGGGAGAAGAAGTAGAGGAAGATGGTGGAAGAGAGATACCAGGAGAAGCAAGGGTAGAAGAGGAAGGAAGAATCTCCTCAGAAATGGCAGAAGATACAGGATCAGACACTTTAAGCTCTAGAATAGGAAATAAAGGTGTGATTTGAGACTTCATGTCTCTGAAAGGAAAAATGTCTTCCTTGAAGATTGCATCTCTGCTAACAAAAAAATCTTTACTACTGAGATCATACAAATGATAGCCTTTTTGAGTAACAGAATACCCCAAATGCATAACAGTTATTGCTCTAGGACAGAACTTGTCAGTTTTCTTCACATTAGTAGCATAACATAAGCTACCAAATACCTTTAAATGCTGTAAGGAAGGAGCTTTAGAAAACAGTCGCTCAAATGGAGATTGACCCCTTAGAAGAATGGTAGGTAGCCTATTCAAAAGATACACTGCAGTTGTGACACATTCTCCCCAAAACTTTAAGGGAATGAATGCTTGAAACCTCAATGCTCTAGCCATATCTAAGATATATCTGTGTCTTCTTTCTACCATCCCATTCTGCTGAGGTGTGTAGATGCAAGAGCTTTGATGAATCACTCCATGTTCCTTAAGTAGCTAATTTACTTGTTCATTGAAGAACTCAGATCCATTGTCTATTCTAAGACACTTGACAACACAATTAAAATGAGTCTTGGTCAATACAAGAAAATCTCTCAGAATAACAACAGAGTCAGACTTATTATTCATTAAAAAAATTCAAGTATATCTTGAGTAGTCTTCTACCAGGGTCATGAAGTATCTTTTACCATCATATGTTGGGACTCTATATGGACCCCAAATATTAGCATGAATAAGATCAAATGCAGAAGTAGAACTGCTATTACTTAAGGAAAAGGGCAATCTTGTTTGCTTGGCAATAGGACATACAGTACAATTGTGATCTTTCACATGTAAGTTTTTCAGAGTACTAATGCTTATCAGAACCTTCAGGGGTGGATGTCCAAGTCTTCTACGCCACAAAGATATGTTATCACAAGATGTATGTTCACCCTCAGTTTTATTCTTAGTACTGAAACTAAAAATATTATTTACACATGAGTTATTTACATATGAGGCAGGCAGACAATGTTTACTGGCAGAATCAGAATTGAGTCGTACTTGTGAACTGGCTTTCAGTATGTAGAGACCCTGATCCTCCTTACCAATCCCTATCACTTTCCCACTGAAGAGTTCCTGAAATAAGCAGAAATCAGGAAAGAATGTTGCTAGACATTTTAGCTCTTTGGTGATCCTAGAGACTAATAATAGATTATACTTGAAGTCTGGAATGTATAGAACATTATGAAGAGTTCTATCTTGAAAAATATACGAATCACCAGTTTTCTGAATAGTTACTTGTTCTCCAGTAGGTAGATGTACTTTGTTTATTTCCAAACCTGTAAACTCCTTGAATGTACTAAGTAACTCCAAGTTGTGTACCATGTGATTAGTAGCCCTTGTGTCAACTATCCAGTTATTGTCGACTAGATTAGACATAAGAGCTGTAGTAATACCTGCAGGTCCTACTTTATATGTGTTGGCTACAAGTTCAACTTTTTTTCCTTGGTTCAGCATTTGCAAAATCTGAGAGTATTGTTCTGGCATGAAGAATTGAGCAGGTGATGAGAATTGTGTAGTTAAAGAGCTCCCAGCAGCCTGACAACTGGACTGAGACAGATTCTGCTACATATCAGGTGCTGAAGATGCTGAATTTGTATTGATCACATTATTGGCATAGTTGTTACGTCCTCCTCCTTTCTTTTTATACTTGAAATCAGCTGGATAACCATGTAGCTTATAGCAACTATCCTTTGTGTGACCTTTGAACTTGCAGTATTCACAATAAAGGGGAACCTTCCCATTCCCATAGTTGTTTCTAGGTCTGTAGCTACCTCCACGTGTTCCTCTATTGCTTAGGAATGCAGCATGTTCTCCAATTTCAGCACCAACACCACTAGCATTCCCTCCACTTGTTTTCCTTTGGCTCTCAACATTAACAATCATAGCATAAGCTTGGTTTATGTTTGGCAGTGGTCTAATCATGAGAACTTGATTCTTAGCATTCTCATAAGACTTATTTAAACCTGACAAAAATTGATACAATTTTTTAACTTGATAATGTTCAGCATATTGCCTAGACTCAGGGCATCCACAAGAGGGTGGAGGATCCAGAGTTTCATATTCATCCCATAGTTCATGTAATCTCAAAAAATACACAGATACTGAAGACACTCCCTGAACAAGTGTGGCAATTTCCTTATGCAAATAGCATGCTCTAGATGCATTCACTTTGTCAAACCTCTCTCTTAAGTCTTCCCACACCTTATATGCATTAGAAGCATATATTACTGTGCTAATTAGACTTGGAGAGACTGTGTTCATTATCCATGCTAACACAATTGCATTACACCTATCCCACAACTCGTGTAGACTAACATCATACATCTCCTTTCTACAGGTTCCTAACACAAATCCTAATTTGTTTTCACCGTAAAGAACAATTTTCATAGATCTACTCCAAATCGAGTAATTTTCAGAACCTTGAAGTTGAATTGAGATAAGAATAGAACCTTGAGTGTCTGAAGGATGAATGTATATTGGATGATTGTGATGAGCAAGCTCTAGGTTCTGTGGTTGAGCAGCCGGTGTACCTGAGGTTTGAGCAAATGGTATTTCTTCTCTTGTCGGCATCGTTGAGATGCAATTTCAGCAGAAACGCCTCCTTATCTCTTCGCAAAATCACAATCGAGCACTGGATTGTACTCGCAATTTCTCAAAGGAAACAAGCTATTCGTTGAGTTCCAGCCAGATACAGAAAAGCCCTTATTTTGGGACTTTTGCTCTTAGTTGAGAAATTGACTCAACAAATGCTGCTTGACACTCGTCTACTGCTTGCTGAGCTGAAGGATCTAACGCACAGCTCTGATACCATGTTGAAGAGTTCAGCTATGGAGTCTATCGAGTTCAAAGACAGAAGATATCGGAGAGAAGAGAGAAGAAGAAGAGAGGTTCCATTATAAGAACAGTGAAAAATAAAATATGTACAATCCTATAACCAACTAACTAACAACTACTTATACAACTAACAACCTACCTATCTTAACTTAATTATAGCTGTTAATTACAGCTCATTGACAGTTGTACACCCATACACCTAGAGTTCTCTACAGAAAGAAGCAGAAATGAGGATGTTGAGGTGGATGTGCGGGCACACTAAGATGGATAAGATTAGGACTGAGGATATTCGGGAGAAGGTGAGCGTAGCCCCCATGGATGACAAGCTGCGGGAAGCGAGACACAGATGGTTCGGGCACATTCAGAGGAGAAGCCTAGATACCCCAGTAAGGAGGTGTGAGCGATTGTCTTTGGTGGGTACGAGGAGAGATAGATGGCGTCCTAAGAAGTATTGGGGAGAGGTAGTCAGGCAGGATATGGCGTGGCTTCAGATTACCGAGGACATGGCCCTTGATATGAAGTTATGGAGGTCGAGCATTAAGGTTGTAAGTTAGGAGGAAGTTGTGCATATTTCTACTTCACACTAGAGTGAGGCTAGTCTGATAGGATTTGGTGTTAGACTGCTAGTGGTTAATATTGTGTTCACACTACTCTTCCGTTTTTCATACTGTTGGGCCTTATCTACTGGTTATTGTTTTGCTTTTCCTCTATTTTTTGGTTCTTGTGATGATGTTATTTTTTTTCTATGGTTTCTGTTGATGATACTGATATATTACCTCTTTTCGTCTTCTTTTTGTCTTCTTGAGCCGAGGGTCTATCGAAAACAACCTCTCTACTCCCTCGAGGTAGGGATAAGGTCTACGTACATATTACCCTCCTCAGACCCCACTAGTGGGATTTCACTGGGTCGTTGTTGTTGTTGTTGTTTTCTAGCAAGGCATTTGTGGTAAACTGGTAACAATTGCCTTCTAAATAGGTAAATGCATGTGAAAATCCTCGGTAATTATATGTAGTTACTCTTCAAGGACAATTCAAAAGCAGACCTAAGACTTTTACAACCTTCACATGCCATTCACAATTTTTTGGGTATTCCATCCGGTGTTTAGTATTCACATTGGGGTTCGACTAAATTCAGATTCGCGCCGGAAAGTCCCGCATTAGGGGTAAAGCGCTTCCTAGCAATGAAGACTCCATACCCAGGTCTCGAACCTGAGACTTATGATTAAGGATGAAGGAATACTTAGCATTCCACCACAACCCTCGTTGGCCATTCACAAACTAAGTGACATGTACAATATTATAGCATGTGCAAAACTAACCTCAATTGGCTCCAACTTCTACATTTTACTCTCTTTCTCATTTCAGGAGAGTGGAGAAAAACTTTCTGATAATTTAAAGTAAAGACTCATAGATCAATGTAGATAGAGATTTAGTAGGAAACGGACATATTCCTTGTTAGCTTTTACAGAATGTGGGGGAAAAAAGACGCAGATGGTAAAGTTAGATGGACCACTTGATTTTTACCAGTCCCTTCAAGTTCTGGTGTAGGATGGATACCTCTGCCGAACCATATGACAATACGACAGCAGCGTACGCAGAATTTTGCAAAAATGCATAGTGTGGACTTATTGTTATAATTCGGGTTGTACACGGGTTTGGGTCCAAGGGATTCTAAGAGTTTACTTCGTATCTTACTGNATATATATATATATATATATATATATAGCCGATCCTAACTTGTTTGAGATTGAGACATAGTAATAATATTTGTTGTAGTAATTATTTGATTTTTTTTTTGTGAATATCGGATGACACTACCACTAAGCGAGGGAACCGGTGAGACAATCAGGGTCCTATTTGCATGCCCAATTAACAACAAATTTCTCTTGATAAACTGTGTACTGATCTTTTTTTCTCTCGACCTAACCTGAAGTGACGCTGAAAATCAAAAATCTCAGGGGACAACCAAAGCAGAGTGCTTAACTAGAGTAAGTATACCAATGAAAGGAAGTGACTAATGACAGTCACAATTCAACTCATATATTCCAATTTGAATAGAAAACAGAACACCCTAAACCAACATTGATTGGTTTTAGATGCATTGCTCCTAACACAACAAAAACCAAAGTTGAGAAAGAAGATGCAGTGTAACAATGGATTCATGGTATATATTTGATACAAATGTCATAATCCTATAAATTAGTACAAATCTTAACTTTGTGAAAAAGAATGTGATTTCGAAAGGATGATGATGGGAATGCCTAGTGCAACGAACTTAACCTTTGAATAATCCCTCACTTCTTACTAAGATTTTTGCTGAGGAGAGATTAACCCATTATATATGCTCAAACCATGTCTAATTTTGAACAAGGAACAAAATCAACAGTATGCTTGAAAGTAGAAAATTAGGCATAAATGCTGAAGTACCTACAAGATTTTGATAGTTTGGAAAATGGTTAACTGAAATCACCAGTTAGGCATTTTCTCTTTCTCATTAACCAATTCCATTAAGAGCTTTCGTTTATTGTGATAAAGAAATTTTAAAGTATAAAATATTCATTTTGATACTCTATTTTGTCTGATAAAATTTACAATTTAGTCAAAAGTTTGCGAAGGTCAGCAGATTGTATTGATTGTTTGCAATTTTCTGTTTTCCTCGAAGACATAAACATATGCTTATCTGAGTAAAAGTTGACACCCCTTAGTCGTAAAGAATTATTTTTTCATGTGTATATACTATGTGCTGAATCCCTTGACTTCTTCATATATTTGCTTCTTTAAATTTTTAAACCCCTTAATGAAAATTTGGCCCGCTACTGATGGAGGCCAAGTTGGTCCAAGTGAATGGAGTTTAACTTATATATATAGATAGTATGAAGAAATTGTGCTCTATCAATGCAATTTTATCGGCTGTAACTGATCATTTGCATGTTTTTAACGTTCAAATTTATGCTTGCTACCTAAAGTTACCTGTAATTAACTTTCAAGTATAGTATAAAGGCCCATTCACATTCCCATGCATGTTATTGAAACAAACCTTTATACATTTTAGGGACATTTTTACCCAAGCCCCTTAGCCCTCCTCCCTGCGTCAACAGAAAAATTGCAGTTATGGCGGTTGGTTCATGACGAATGGTATTTGAGCACTTAGTAATTAGTATCAGATCGAATTGTTATGATCCTACAAGTAATGTGTCGAGTTGTACTTGTAGCTAGAGTTTAACTTTTATACACTTATCGTGTAAGAGAATTTTCAAATCACCTAACTGATAATTACAAATATCACTCATATTGGTAACTTGGAATCGGAGATAGGTTACCTACTATAATGTAAATATTCTTTTTGCCGATCATTATATATAAGTTAAATCTTACTAATACTATAGACAGCTTGGACATTCGGGCCAAAGTTAATGCATATTAAGTTGCGCAACCACAAACGGATTGGACAATATACTAGTATCAAATAACCTTGATTGGCGTTCGAGATGGTCCAAATTAAACTGCCATATGGACAACCATAATAACTACCTTTAGAAAATCACGACAGGAAAACAAAATAAAAGCTTAAATAGACTAGTAGCAACGATAATGGGGAAGACAAAGCTCCAATACAAAGCTTATTAGTAGGATTTAGGAAATGGCCACCCAAAATGGCTCCCAACTTGGAATCCGTTTGATCCTACTCCCACTTTCCTTGCATTTTCTTGGCCTTACGTACTCTCCTACCCCTTTTTCACTTCCTACATTTTCATGTTCATTGACTTGGGCTTCAGCTTCTTTTTCAGCTTGCTCATAACTATCAGGAATATGAGTGTTAATACCATCATTCATCAAAGAAAGTGTAAGCCTGCCATCTGCGCGTTCTGTTTGGAAGCAAGATTTGCATGAAGTGATGGTTGTGGCTTTCAAAATTAAGCGGCCGCCTCCGCGTTGAGGCCTGACTTGAACACCATTTAGTGAAGTTAGAGGGGGAGGAAAACTAGCTATCCGGTTATGTTTTTTAACAATTTCTCGACGTTTTGATCGTTGAACATCACGAGAATTCTCTTTTTCTGACAAGAAAGAAGAGTTTTCCTCTATGCCTTCGCTAATATCACTGCCTGTTTCGCTTCCTAAGTTCTCTGTGCACATTTCCAAGCTTTTAGGGCTAAGGGTGGAAGAAGAGCGGTTCATTAAAGGGTGAATATAGACTTCATTTTCTGCATTTTCTCTTTTTGCGTTATCTAGAGATTGTAAGAAACTCCATCCACAAATCTGGGTTTGCAAGTCATTGGAACGAACACAAATCTCTTCATTCGGTTCTACTCCTTTTGCTTCTGTTTCTTGCGAAAACATATTAAACTTAGACTGGGAAAAGATTAACGTGGGAGGGGACAGTTTGTTTATTAGGACATGTTTTTCAGGTAGTTGTGGCTCCATGCAAGATTGCAGCCCTTGACAGAGAACGGCGGTTGAGGCCATGCTGTTGTTTTTGAACAAGTACTATAATAAGAGAAACAGAGGAAGAACAGGGGATTTGCGGGGAAACACAAGAAGAAAAACAGAACAGAACAGAACAGAAACAGAGGAAGAACAGGGGATTCGCTCCACTGCTTAATTGAAGTGTGAATTTTTCTGGGTTTTTATGAATCCGTACGTTTAGAATGACGATAAAGATTTTACTAAGTGTTAAATGTTAAATGACCTTGGCTGACTGAACAATAATAGGGAAAAAAATAGAGGATTTGCTCAACTACGTTTTAAGTGTGAAGGTAAAGAATAGGTAATAGAGGAAGAGGCACTGAATGAAAGAGAAGTGAATGAGCAAGTTTGAATTTATAGGAACAAAATGTAACCAGCTTGAGAATTGGTAGGGTACAGTCAAGTGGTTTAAAACTCATGTTCTAATTTATGTGGCGGCTTATCGTGGGTTTAAAAAAGAAACAAAAACTTTATGTTGTTATAAAATCATAGCATTAAAAATGAAATAGAAATTGAATGGTAAATGATTTCTAAGCATGGGAACGTAGATTCTATTTGAAACAGAATTATAAGAAAATTAAATCATATAAAATGAAATATAGCGAGTGATAACATTGTGGCTAGGAGTTCTATTTTTTAAACTCTCATGATCACAATTTTCCAATTGGATTGTTATACTCTTTACTATTCTATAAAACAGCAATAACAACGTATCTAGTGTAATTCAACAAATGGGATTTGGAGAGGATAGTGTTTACGCAAATCTTACTGCTACCTTGTGTAGATTAGAGACCGTTTCTTATACATATTTTTTACTATGAAAAGAAAACAGGAAAAAAAAAAAGTTGGACAAAGTTGCGAAGGAGGGAGACAACTCAATGAATATATAACACATATTTTTGTATATACTTTTTACTAAACCATACTACTATGGTACACATCCTCAATTTAATTTGTTTACTTAACAATAATAAATTGGTACCATTCCATGTAAACATGAATGAGTAAATTTTTAGCAAAATAGGGTGATCTAATTGCAAAGAGGAGGAGCAGAACTTTTGATGAATTGATGCCACTAGAATTATTTACTTAGCTTTTACTCTTGCTACAAAATATACGGAGGAAAGGAACAAGGAAAAGTCGAAGAAAGTGGAATGCTAGAATAATTTGAAATTGGACGAAGCTCATTGGTCATTGTTTCTCTTGGTTTTTAGTCCTCTCTTTTTTTTTTCCTTTTTCTCTTTTTGTTAGTTTAGGTAGAAGACATAGATTGGCTATTTAGCCTCTATACAATAGATAAAATCTGATTGGTCAAATTAGGAATTACTCTGAAAGAGGATGAATTTTCTTTATTCTGCCACTACATGAGGAGAACCCAAACCAAGATTCTTTACTCCCTAAACATTTATTAATTCATCAACTTTACATGATCTAAGTTTTTCATTTTGATGTAAAAATATAATAACTTTTCATATATAATTTTGGACAAATAACCTTAACTAGCACAAATTTCTTCTTTCCAATGAATAAAAACAAATTCAAGAATCATGAACCACTTTCTCGAAATAAGCGTTATAGTTTGTTTTCAATACCCAGCGGCTGATAAGCGTTATAGTCTGTTTCCAATACTCAACGGCTTGATCAAAGTTGTCAAACATTTAAATCACCAAGCAGCACATAATGACATCTTAGTACACACTATAGAAGACTACATTAGTTTTATGAATCTTTTTTTCTTCTTCAATTTCTCCTCTTTTCTTGTATTTCATTAGAAAGATTTGATTCAAGCTTCTTCTTACCATTGCATAAACCTGCCACGATCCAAAATCATAACCTGTCGTGACGGCGCCTATCTCAATACTAGGCAATCCGAAAATCTCATTAAACCACAAATTCTTTTAAGCCTGAAAATATAATATTTAAATACAATACAAAATTCCACAAATACTTATTCGAACACTCCCCAAAACCTGGTGTCACTAAGTACATGAGCATCTAATATGGATACAAGTCTGGAACATAAGGTCTATAATAGTTCAAGACCAAAATACAACAAACAAGGAGGTAGGAAAAGAGAGACAAGGTCTGCGAAACACGACAGCTACCTCTGAATCTCCGGAAGATCAACTGCACGAGAGAATCAACACTCGCTATGTCTAGAAGCACTTGGATCTGCACACGAAGTGTAGGGTGTAGTATGAGTACAACCAACTCAGCAAGTAACAATAATAAATAAGGAATTGAAGATAATGACGAGCTATACAATTATAGTTCATTTTTAGTAATTCTCGCAAAAAATAGACATGCTTTCAAATCCAGCATTTTAAGTCAAATCAATTCTATACAGTTCAAGTTCATGTATTCAAGATATAAAAATCTTTGAGAAAATTTCACAACAATGACAGATAGCAACTAAGTGCAACAACAAATGAAAAGCAAGTACAGCCTCTCAGGACAATAATCACTCCCTCGGCTCCCAGCTCTCAGCACTCACTGGGCTTCCAGCCCTCAGCACTCGCACTCAATGGGTACCCGCGCTCACTGGGGATGTACAGACTCTGGAGGGGCTCCTACATCCCTAGCGCTATAATCTGCACGGACAACTCACATGTTGCATGGGGCAACTCACGTGCTATAATATAAATATCTGGATCATCACGGCCAACTCACGTGCTGCACGGACAACTCATGTGTTATAATATAAATATCTGGATCCGCACGGCAAATTCACGTGCTGCACGACCAACTCACGTGTTATAGTATAATATAAGGATCCGCACGGCCAACTCACGTGCTGCATGACTAACTCATGTGCTATAGTATAATATCTCATAATTAGTCCATCGGCCTCACTCAATCATAAACCTCTCTAGTCTCTCGGGCTCTCAACAGTCATAAGATCAGCCCAAACAACAATGATATGATACATCAATAATGAACAACAATAGACTGAGATAAAATAATTAAGTCAGTTGTGACTAAGTACAAAACAACAATTTAAGTAGATAATTCAACATGTATACGACCTTTGTAGGTCCCAACAATACCAACATATAGCCTAAGCATGGTTTCTAGCATGACTTATAATCAAATTTTCACGGGACCGACCAAGTCACAATTCCCTCGTTGTACGCCCACACACCCGTTACCTAGCATGTGCGTCATCTCCAAAGTAATCACATCATACCCTCAGGACCAGATTTAAAACTGTTACTTACCTCAAACCGTGTAATTCTTTATTCCGCTATGCCCTTGCCACGAGAATTGGTCTCCGAAAGCCTCGTATCTAGCCACAAATAATTTGTTTCAGTAAATAAAATTTATTGGAATTAATTCCATATGAAAATATAATTTTTCCATAAAAATCCGAAATGTAGCTCAAAAATTTCCCGTAGGGCCCACGTCTCGGAACCCGACAAAAGTTATAAAATCCAAAAGCCCATTCAACCATGAGTCTACCCATACTAATTTTACCAAAATCTGACCTCAACTCGACCCTCAAATCCACAATTTAAACCAAGAGGTTTTTCTCATCTTTCCAACTTAATTCATCCATTAAATGATAAAAATAACCATGGATTCGGGTAATTTAACCAATATTGAGTTAAGAACACTTACCCAGTTGTTTTCTCTGAAAATCTCCCAAAAATCGCCTCAATCCGAGCTTCAAATCGTTAAAATAGAAAATGGCGTTCGCGAAGCACAACTCGACTGTCCCATAAATTTACCCTTCGCGAACGCGATCGTGGCTTCGCGAATGCGAAGCTTTACCAGCTCAGACCTTCGCGAACGCGACCAGCACCTCGCGAATGCGTAGAACAAGAACCTGGGGTCCCCAATAGCCTCACTCCTCTTCGCGAACGTGACACCACTAACGCGTTCGCGATGCACACACAGACCATATCTTCGCGTTCTCCCCTTAGTGAACGCGAAGAAAAAAACATCACACTCAGAAAACACTCTTCGCGAACCCGAGGGCCCACTCGCGAACGCGAAAGAGAAAATCAGAAAAATGCAGTAGCAGATATCAGCAATCTCACCAAGGCCAAAAATGATCCGTTAACCCCCTGGAACTCACCCCGAGCCCTCCGGGACCTCAACCAAATATACCATCAAGTCATAAATTATCATATGAACTTAGTCGAACCCTCAAATTACCTCAAACAATGCTAAAATCACGAATCATACCCCAATTCAAGCCTAATGAACTTTGAAATTTCAAGTTTCTACAAACGACTCAGGAATCTATCAAATCACGTCCGATTGACCACAAATTTTGCACGCAAGTCATAAATGACAGAACAGAGGTATTTCAATTTTAATAATCAGATTCCGACCCCTATATCAAAAAGTCACCCCCCTGGTCAAACTTCCCAAAATTTCAACTTTCGACATTTCAAGCCTAATTCCACCACGGACCTCCAAATAATTTTTCGAACACGCTCCTAAGTCCAAAATTACCATACGGAGCTATTGGAATCATTAAAATTCAAATCCGAGTTTGTTTACATATAAGTCCACATCCGATCACTTTTCTAACTTAAAATTTTCAATTATAAGACTAAGTGTCTCATTTCACGCTGAATTCCTTCCAGACCCAAACCAACTACCCCGGCAAGTCATAAAATAATTCTAAAGCTTTAATTGAGCAGTAAATGGAGAAACGGAGTTATAATACTCAAACGACCGGCCGGGTCGTTACATTCTCCCCCTCTTAAACAAACGTTCGTCCTCGAACGGGTTTAGAATCATACTTGGAGTATCAAATAGGTGTGGATATTTGCTACGCATCTCCTGCTCAATCTCCCAAGTAGCTTCTGCGACTGGCTAGCCTCGCCTCTGTACCTTCACTAATGCTACGTTCTTTGACCTTAGCTTTCGAACATGCCGATCTAAAATAGCCACCGGCTCCACATCATAAGTCAAATTACCGTCCAGCTGTACTGTATAGAAATCCAGAATATGAGACGGATCCCCGACATATTTTCGGAGCATGGATACATGGAACAGTAGATGAACACCTGATAGATTAGGTGGCAAAGCAAGTTCATAAGCCACCTCTCCAATCTTCTTAAGTATCTCAAAAGGCCCAATATACCGAGGGCTCAACTTGCCCTTCTTCCTGAACCTCAACACACCCTTCATGGGTAAAATCTTGAGCAGAACCTTCTCCTCCACCATGTGAACAACATCACGAACCTTCCTGTCGGCATAACTCTTCTACCTAGACTGTGAAGTGCGAAGCCATTCCTGAATTACTTTGACCTTCTCTAAAGCACCCTGAACCAAGTCAGTACCCAATATTCTA